TTTTTGGGTGTTTTGTATGGAATTTATTTTCACTGTCTTTTGATGAGTTGAATGTGAAATATAGGAAAATAGGTACATTCACTGGATTTTATTTTCACTGAATCATCCCTTCAGCGAAAATAAATTCCAATCGGAAATAAAGTATTATACAGTACACGTTTCGACGCGCCCTGACTCGGTACGGACTCTCGGTACAGGCCGAGACCAGTAACATGAACGCAACTAATACATCAACCCAGTCATTGATCAATGTTCTGTTTGCAATAAAATTTGAACTGCACAATTCGGTTCCAGAGATTTTTTCTTCACTCGATCTGGCATGTGGTTGGCGATCACATTTTTGCGACGAAATACGACTTTAGCGTGGTATGATATAAACAACTGGTCTATTAAACAAAAAGTGTCTTCTCGAAGCATTTTGTCGAAAATGGCGAACTCTGCTCCTTCAATATTCATTTTCATAACGACAAAATCCTCCGGCAGTACGTGATACTGCAACCAGGTACTGAAATCGACGCTTTTTATGCGCTCTTCTGATTTTATCCCTTTCCTAGTTTTGGAAACAGACGTGCCCCAATAACCTTTCTCTTTCTCAGATCTGTCGAGGTACAACTGAATTCCCCCGTCGTCGACCCACGCCGCTGTCTCGGCATAGAGCGTGAAATTGTACTGACGCTGTAGACGCCGCAACGTCGGCGTGTGCACGGCGTCGGCTTCAAATGCGAACACCTTCCACTTAGACGGATCGTAATCGTACGGCAATGCCATCGCTTTGTTGTTAGCGTCTTCCGGAACTCTCTTCTGATAAAACGATCTCAGGGTATCGCCCCTGTTAGCGCCGACATCGATGTAGTAAAGCGATGGTTCCCCCGAACCGCCAATTTGGTGTTTTCTAACCACGACCTTAGTCAAGTAGTACACGGGCACTGTCGTTAAACATACAAGGCATACACACAATGCAGTTAATAGTACCGCCTTTCTCGTGTTTCCGAAACAAATTCTCATTATGTTCATCGTAGGTTATATCTTGAAATAGTGATTACCATGGCGATTAACAGAGCGTACTGTTAGCTATATAACGGACACTTCAAAATTGAATCACATGCGAACACAAACGTGGATTGTCACAGCTGCACATGTTGATATTGAACCACACTGTGTCGACGGAACATGGCGTAGTTTGAATTACCAATTTCCAATTAATTTCGACAAACTAGAATTGTTGTTATGCTGTATGCTCTCTATGGAAATGTAGCTGTTAGCGACAATTAAGACAGTATCAGCTCACCGCTATCATTTTGCTCAAAATATCAGTTTTATCAGCTTTGGGGATTGGCGACAGCTTGCGATCTTGTGTCGCTGCTGTGCTGGTTACTAGTACATGTGTATATTTAAAAAAATGGGTTGTGAAGTTTGTGGCAAACAGCTGAGATCTGGCCATAGAGGGCATAATTTCTGAACACTTGCGTTATTACATGAATGGATAGGACTCTCCTGAGACTGGCGCAGTCAGGGCGATTAATTTGTTTTTGTAGTTTAAATAAAATAAAAAAAAAACGCCAAATGGAGGTGTTAGCGCGAAATCACCCCGACTGGTTTATTCTGCAGGAAATTCATTGCTATTAAATATTCAAGAGCACATATTATAATGGCGCGGAAATACGTGCATAATGAGGTCAACATGGTAAAGGGCACGTTGAAATTCGAGTTTGTCGTAGTCGTCGTTTCTTATTCATCACAATGTGTAAAAATGTAACTCGTACTGTCGTAGAATTGAAAAATATCAGCCAGTTGAAGAGACGTTGTGATTGGCTTAGATGATTGTCAATTACAGAACACTCATTAACATAATTTCCCGTTGAAAAATCGACGGGTTCCTGCAGTGT